CCCAACATAAGCGTGTCAATAGAAAAACACATGAAGGAGGGTGTTATTTTTAGCAACTTTAGCGATCACACGACACTTGTTTTTTTAGCTGGTGCGCATGTTTTGGTTTGACGTCCGTTTTGGCGTATGTTATTCGATGGTTGACTTTTTACGCCGCGACGGAGAGTGGTAAGAGTCCATCTGTCGTGAGATATAGTCCGACGTCACATAGTAACACAACTGTATTTGTTGTACATGTTATACATAATGCGTTTTAATAAAAATGGTGACATTGCATTGTGTTTGGATACATGAGTGGGATGTGGCTAACACACATTTGTGTGATTGGGGGCCTCAAATCCAGACTCCTGCCTTCTTGTGTGCATGTTCTTGCATAGGGTTTCTCCCGGTACTTCCTTTTTTTTTTTTTTTAACCACCCACATTCAAATGTTAGGTTCATCGCGCCCTATAAATCGTCCTTAGGTGTGAATGTGAATGGTTGTTTGTCCCTGCGTGCCCTGCCATTGGCTGGTAGCGAAGTCCATAGTATACCTCGCCTCTTGCCCGAATTCAGCTGGGAAGGGTTCCAGCACACCCAAGACCCCCCCGGTGAGAATACCCGATAATATGGATGGATGAATGAATGAAGGTAAAATTGAAACAGCAACGCTAGCTGCGAAACAAGCGTTGGTCCAGCGATAGTAAAGATTGCAAAAGTCGGTGACGGTGGTGACCAAAAACAGAGAGAATCTTCCATCCATTTTTGAGAAAGTTATTTTGAGATACATCGATTCGCAAATACCAAAGAGGTTAGCTCACGTCTCGCGCTCCGTTGTTAATAACCATTAGGCCGCCGAAACCCGAAGCCTTGGTGTTTGTGTGCATTTGAGTGTATGTTTGTGTACATTTGTGCATGTGTGCACAGGCAAGATAGGCAATTCTTTCTCGGAGCACTTTGAAGAGGTAAGCGATATGCTGACAGACCGCCCTGGTTCTGACAAAAAAAAAAAAAAAAAAACAACGCATCAATCTGAAGTTGAAGGCCCTTTTATCATAATCTGTAACTGAAGACACACACAGCTTTTTTTTTTGTTGTTTGTTTGTTTACAATCTCTTCAATCCAACGCGTCTCAATCCCTCATCAAATGCCACTTTTCCTCCCTGTGGCCTCTTCCCTCAGCTGTTCCATGCCACTGTTCCGCTGGGATTGATACAATATTTTCCAGACCTCAGTTAGCACATCGCTTGTTGACTAATTCCAACTGTTTTTGCACCTGAGAGGGTGCTGGAAAAATTGAGTGGCGTGCAAGCGAGGGCGACAAGACACGTAGCAGTGCGAGGCGGGGGGATAGAGGATGCGTCGACTTCTCAAGCAGCTGTTGTGGAAGCAGAGGCTCCGAGTTTTGTTTGGTATCCGATTCGCCACTGCGCTCATCAAATATGTACGACCTCCCCACTCTAATCTACGGCCGCGCGACCGTATCAGTATCAAGAAATCGTGTGGGTCAATAGACTTGAAGTCTGATCGAAAGCCCGGGCTCCAATTGTCGCTAATTAAACAGCTTTGTGTGGCATTTCGAGATGCGACCGACCGCACGTTCCCCGTTCCCAACTTTTGACAAGGCTTTGGCGCAAGGCTCGACTTGCCGTGCACGCCCTCCTCGAAAAGGGTTCTTTCCCGCGAAGGAAACGAGAGGACGGCGGCCGACGTGAACGAGGTCGTGACACAAAGGATACTGAAACCAATACCGCTACAAGCAGAAATGATGTGAGCGTGGGTTGAAAATGAGGGTCAGAGGACATTTAGATGTTAGAGTAATTCAGGGGTAACGTTTGGGATTCTACCTGTACCATAATTTGACATCCGGTTCCAAAGATTCAGAATTCCAAATTCTACCCCCCCCCCCCCCACCCCTTTCTCTCCACGGCACTTTGGGGAAGTTGAGCTGATGAATCTCGGGTGTCCGCACTTGGTTTGGGGTTAGGAGCACTTGTGGTTAGGATTGAATTGGGTTCGGGGTTTGGTTTTGGCAGGGTTAAGGTTTGGGTTCGTGTCAGATCAGGTGTAAGGTTTGAGTTAGTGTCGTTTAACCCTTTGAGGGACAGCGGTGACTACAGTAGACACCTTCTCATGTTATCAGGTTACAGGGTGCATGAAAGGCTTAAGGTACGGTTGGGTTGGGGCAGGGGTGTCAGTCATTTTTTGTCACGGGCCACATCATAATTATGGGTTTTGTTTGGAGGGGCATGAACAGTGCGACAAATTGATGAAGAACTGATTTTGAAATCAGAGGCCTGTAAAAACTGTCCGAATATTATTCGATTCATTTTAAAAGGGGGAATTCATCACAAAACAATGCTTGTGAGTGTGCAACGTTTTTTTTTTTTTTTTTTTTAAAGTGACGACAATTGAGATTTTTTTTTAGTTTTTTAGCAAGAAATGTCAAGTCACTGCACATGATTTGCTTTTGCGGGCCACAGACCGGTTCTGGCCGCTGAGCCTTTAGTTTGACACCTGTGTAGGAATAGGTTTACGCTGCTGTTATTTAAGGTTTGTGAAGAGTAGGGTTCGGATTGGTGTTAGGTTTGGGTTTTTATGGTTGGGGCCACAAATTACTTTGGACGGTATTACACCAGGAAAACTTCTTTCTCTTATTGTTTGACGCCAGCTGGCCACGCACACAGACTGTTGGAATAACAAACGAAGGGCAGAGGAAGGCATGCCCTTTTTTTTTCTTTTTCTTTTTCTTTTTCTTTTTTTTGTGCACAAATTTCTTCAAACCCTAATATGCTGAAATGCCACATTACCGTCGTACGTTAAAATAAAAATACAACTTTTGAAATCATTTAGAAAAGAAATCATCTGCGGTTGCCCTGACTGTCAGGCTTCGGACATGGTTGAAACTCTAAAACTTGTGTCACCCACGATTCGAGAAATTAAACATTGAAGATGAATTATTTTCTGATCACGCGTTACCTGATTAGCACCGTGGCTTCAAAGTAATTTATGATTTGTAACTGCAGTGGGAGTCCCCGAACACTTGTTTCAGACTTTCACACAAATCATGCGAGCGACTTGCTCCGGCGACCTCTCTTTGGACAAGCCAAAAGTTAACTGATGAAGCGTCACTGTGTTTTTGTGATTGTGTAAGAATTGATGCTATTGACGTAGAAAAGAGTAATGCGGGATTTAAGACATTTTCTGACGTATGACCCGAATTCATGAAAATGATACAGAAGTAGTTCGGAGCATTTTAGTTTTGAACGGAGTGTCCGAGGTGTTTTAATCACGTGCCTAAATTTTGGAAAGACTGCATTCGTGAATGAATTATTCGCGACTGTGAATGTGTACCCGTACTTCTATGACTATCGACTAATAATTCGTATTTTATTTAGCATTTTAATTTGTCTATAAGGAAAAAAATAATTGTGCTCCATGAATTTTGCCAAGGAAATGTCAAACAACCATTTGACATTTCAATAAAATGAAATGGACCAACTGATGGGATTTGATCTGTTTCTGTCTTTTCTCCCTTGATCCAAATGCCAAGTTCGGTTGGAATGAATGACAATGTATCCATAATCACCAAACAAACTATAAAACAGCGGAAGATGCGTCTCCTGCATATACTCCTCGACACGTACGAAAATGTTTTGTCATTTCTAGCCATTCATCCTCAAATATTTGCAATGACACCCACTTCCTGTCTGCTCCGCACGCTCGAAAGCCGTGACTGAAATATTATCTCGTGGTAGCAAGTTGCGATCAACGGATGAGTGAGTGTGCATGACTTTGAATCCAACGCTCAATTTCCCAATTTGACGGCATCGATATAAATCGCCGCAAACTTGACTTTCGAACAAGCTGGTGCGGGTTGAAAAGACATTTTCGGGTGCTTCATTTGGACAGGTGAGCAAATGTCACTCACACCTTGGAACAGTGGCAACAAGCCCGTGAGTGGCTTGAACACAACAGCTGCTCCTTCCCCGCCTCCCCCTCCACCTCGGTAGCCATGTGGAAAAACTCTGACTCACCCGCTCGTGTTGTGAAAAAGAGCCATTAACAAATACATAAATATTACAGTTCCGAGGAATTGCAGTGGGCACCGCCTGTCACTCAGGGAGTGACGGACATGGAGGCGAGGTCAGCTCATGAGTCAGCTCCTCTGACCCGGTCAAATGTCTGAAAGACATCCATTGATGGACACAATGAGGTGCGGCCGCTGCACTTCTCAGGTGTCCTCTTCAAAACCGCAAGCTCCGCATTGCACACGACAACCTGTCTGGCTTGAGCGAGAGCTCATGCATACCCGGTTTTACGTACAGGGCTGGACTAAAAAGTATTCACAAGGGTTTGACAGGAGGATGAATACGCTTTGCAATAATTCAGGTAAATATCATTCTTAAAATGAATGATCAAGGCTTGGATTTACTACAACGAGCGTGACTCAAGAAGTCCAGAAATGATGACACACGTTTAGGAAATGGAAACAGAGTAAGCGGTGAGGGTATTGCGAGACTTTGAAACAAGACGGTATGCACTTACAAGTATGCAAAGCCACACTCGGACCACTTTCCTCAGCATCCTCATCAAAAAAATGTGACCGTCGCATCATGTGAAAAAAGCCCTTCGTGCGTGTTTCCATGTCATACCTTCTACTCACAATTGATGCACTTTCATCAACCGTTTTGACACGTTCATTCCCGGTGACCCTTTTTGTTTTTCCGTCCTAACTGATGCCCAATGTCTTTCCTCGCAGAAAATAAATGCAGCACTGTGTGTCCCATGAGAAGCCTAAATCCACACCGGAGTGTGCTTGTCTTACCTAGCAACCTGCGTCCCCTGCTCTAAACACAACACAAGAAGCGGAGCAATAATGTAGCGGCAGGATATCCCTACGGACGGCAATAAAAAGTGAACAGATAAGAAAGTCCGACCATAAAAAAAAAAAAATCGAACGTCACAAGGCACCCTTTCTGATACAGGGCACCCTCGAGGAACGCCGCATCAGCAACTTACTGTCTGCGTAGTTTTTCCGCCGCGTGCCTTCCACTTTGCCCGTTTTGTCGATGCACAGGAAGAACTTGTTGGCCGAGTAAAGCCGCCGCAGCCGCACGTCGCCCTCCAGGTGATTGTAACTTCTCGTGTGCCTCTCCAACGTCCACGAGCAGTTCGTGCCGCCCGCCAGAACCTGGAGGGGCTCGTGCCCTAGCCCGGGAGGGCAGGCCCCCGAGGCGGCACCGGCGGCGGCCAACAGCAAGGCCAGGCGTGCCAGGCAGAAGGAGGCCGCGCCGGGCCGCGGGGGAGGCCGTTGCCTGGCCGAGGCTGCGGCATCAGGAGCGGGTTCGGGCGGATGGAGGTGAGCGACGGATGGCGTCCATCTGCACATGGTGGGTCACACTCCCAGGGCGCACCTTAATGTGCAAGCTGCAGGCATGCTGATGGGTGGGAGACGTCCCAGTGAGAGAGTCCGGAGAGGAGAGGGCAGCCGCTCACGGGAGACCCCCCCAGACGTGGATCTTTGATCGGGGTGGCAAAAGAGCTTCCTACTGCAACCGGCTTGTCAACGTTCCTCCAGAAGTTGTCATCTTCTTCTTGTGGCTTTCTCCACTCCCCTCACACATCTTCACTTAATGAGCCTTCCATTCTCATTGCTTTCTCTTCCACTCTCCTCCTCGCATTGAAGCCTGCCCTCCCGTTGGAAAAAGGATCAACCGTCCCGAAGGATGATGCTTGCGTGTTTGCGTTTATATGTATGTATACATCCGAATGTGTGTGAAAGTGTCTGTCTGTCTGTGTGTGCGTGAGTGTGTATGTGTGCACCTTGCGAGTCTGGTCTGCTCTTTCCAGCTGGGGAGGAACAAGGTGCCTGTCTGAGCTGCTGACCCGTGGCTGGGAGGGAGTTGAATGAGGGTTGATGACTGACTGACTGCGTGTGTGCGTGCGTGTGGGTGTGTGTGTGTGTGTGTGTGTGTGTGTGTGTGTGTGTGTGTGTGTTACCAAGAGAGGGAGGGAGAGAGCCTGTCTGCATGTGTCAGAGTGAGCGGCAGCCGGCGAGTGCGTGTCAGCTGGCTCACACGAGGCAGTGAAGCAGTAAGCCAACGGCCTGACGCTCTGCTGCGCGCAGCCAGCCAGGCACTTCGCCGCTCAGTGGGAGCGCCGGCTGACTCGCCGTGCATTTTATCCTGGGCTGTGCTAGCAACATCCGAGGATGGGTGGGTGGGGAGATGTGTGGGGTTGGCTCGGGTGGGGTTGGGGCCGACTGGAAGGAGAGAGCCGAGAGGGGCGGGATCTGTCAACTCATTCATAACCATTTTAAACAAATGAGAAAAGTTTGACGGGGTCTTGTGAAGAAAAAAAAAATTGTCTTTTCGTTTTGGGAATGTATGTTTTGGCTTTTAGTTCACGTGGAAACATTTTTTTTTTGTTGTTCTTAAAAACACAGCTTTTTGGCTTTTATCATTTAAACTGGCTGGCATATGACCGTATTTTCCGGACTATAAATCGCAGTTTTTTTTTTTCATAATTTGGCTGGGGGTGCGATTTATACTCTGGAGCGATTTATGGGTGAAATTATGAACACATTATTATATCATTTCACATGTTATTTTCACATTAAACCATAAGAGGCCGCTCTAGACCTGTATTGATAAAACCACGATGAATCTGACGTAAGCGATGTAGAAGAGGAAGCGCTGCCATCTTCTACCTCCGGAGTTGGTGGAGTTGCTTTAAAGTGACACAGAGGATGAAGATTCCATTGGATTTAGTGATTTGGAGTAACATTGATGGTTTGGTGAACTTGTTAGCATGTTCTTCATGCTATAGTTATCTGAATAACTCTTAATATGTTACTTGAACATACCAGGCGTGTTCTCAGTTCGTTGTTTATGCGTCATGTAACGTTAGCATATCGTACACTTATTCAGCGTGTTGTTTTCGATTTTATTTTTATTTTAAATTGCCTTTCAAGATGGCATGTATGTTCTTGGTGTTGGATTTTATCAAATAAATTTCCCCCCAAAATGCGATTTATACTCCAGTGCGACTTATATATGTTTTTTCCTTCTTAATTATGCATTTTTTGGCTGGTGCGATTTATAATCCGGAGCGACGTCTAATCCGAAAAATACGGTAGTAGGGCAAGGATGTTCATTTAGCAAAAAAAAAAAAAAAAAGCGTTAAATAAACCTTACCACTATTCGTTTATGGTATTGTCAAACAATTTGAAGTAGCATAAACATGGAGAAAACAAATCTATTTGAAATTCCTGCTTAAATTTGGGAAGGGCTCAAAGCGAGCGTCACGAATGTCACGAAGAGACTTCCAGAGATGTAATGTGGCTTGTTTTCAAATGGCACAGGTGGAAGGGTCTCCAAAATTGCTTTAAGTATTCTTTGTTTTAAAGATGGAAGATGGCGCCTTTGAGTTGGTAGTCTCTTAAGACCTTTGCCAGTCTTGCTCTTTAATCTGTAGTGCTCCACCCTTTTTTCTTTTTCGTAATTTGATCTTCATCGTACATTGTGTGGACCCATAGTGGACTCTTTTTGGCCGTAATATTCGTTGGAGGAGAATATCGGCGCTTATTGTTTTGCGCCTTCACGACAGCGTGTTTGCAAGAGCCCTGTTTTTTTCGCTGGGCGGAAAATGTCGGCGCTATTGGACTGTTGCCGCACGTCTGTGATGGTACAGCCACGGTTGGCTTGATGTTTTGTGCTTTAACGGGACCGATCAATGCAGCCCCCGTTTGAATTGATCGGATATTGTTTCCGCTGGTGGATTGTCCTCATGGAGTGTCGTCAATGTGGAGTCGTGTGTACAGGAGGAGATGTAGAGAGAACCTGAAGTGACTCGGTGAGACTTCCTGGAGAACATCCGGGAAGACCCGTAGTTTGTTGCGTCTTTCCCCAACTTGACCAAAAATTCTTTGCTCTATGTGCCACCTCCAATCGTGGGACAGAAAGTCGACAGCGCTGCGCAAGACAAAAGCCCTACAAAAAAGTGCGGATGAACAATATTATTGCATAAACGTGACGAGATGTTGGGCAACACTGAAAATAAGCAGAGAGCCAATTGGCATGGAGTGACGTGTGTGACGGCCAGTCTTGTTTCTTTGTCACACCTCGCTTGAAAAAAGGAAGGGGGGGGACAGCCTTCAGTTTCATGGAGAACAATTAAAGACTTGAGGGGCGGGGTGAATAAAAAAACAATAATTGCCATGTATTTCCTAAGAACATAACTACAACTTGTCATTAAGTGCGCCGGTCCCTTAGTGAAAATATGGCTTTAATACACTCAATGCCAGTGGCCTTTAGTTTGTCAAGTGAGGTGAAAACACGCAATTAACCTCTCCATGGGGATTCAGAATTGAAAGATGCTCACGTGCGGTTTCTCTGTTAGTGATGGTAATTAGCTCCTTTTAAAGGGCTCCTTTGAGCAGCACCCCGAGGCCAAACTCCGCCAGTGCTGGAAGTGGGTTGCATGCCGCACCCGGCGGGGGGGGGGGGGGTTGACAGTCACTTCACACTCCTTTGCGTGCTGACGACCCACCCGACTTCAACAAAACACACCTCAACCCCTCTCAGAACTAGTGTCTGCCCCCCCTCCATAAAAATACAACGATGAGAGAATGACGGGTCTACCAACCCCCCCCGCCCCCCTCCTTGAGGTGACGAAGGTACAGCCTGCGTGCCATGTGTGAGAATATTTGATCCGTCTCGCCGTGCAATTCTGAAAACTCCTATAACATCAACTCAAATCAGCGCAATCTATTGATCTGTATCATAACTCTTGCCTTCACAAAAGTTAAAAAAAAAAAAAAAAATTGCTCACTTTACTTCTTGTAGCTAATAGAGACAAATTGCTGACTCACGAGAAGCTTGTGGCATATGTTCCCGACGGGCCCCGGTTGTCGGTCATCAGATCTCAAAGCCCATTAGCCTCCTTTTGTTTCTTACTTTGGGCTTAACAGAGAGTCATAAAAGATCAAATCAATGGCAAAATGGTGAAATGTGATCATGTCTTCACTGCAAACCGCGGCCAGCGAAAATTCTCTTTCCTTTCCTTAAGGCGTTTAGACGTGTAAAAGTCAGACGGTAAAAAGTTCCAAAGCTTTTATGTCATTCACGCTTTTATTACAGGCGCCGTTAGAGTCGATGTAGGCGTTCTTATTCTTAAGACGATCCTCCTGGACCCTGTTTAGGTTTTTTTTTCTTTCGATTTTTGTGATATTTCGTTCAAAGGAGGAGCAACCTCCACGAGGAGGTTAAGGTGACGCATGATAACTTTTATATCATTTGATAGTCAAGATGTTCGCTACCGATGTACACAAGACTATCCGTATGAAATGACCAAATCTTATTAGTTCTGATGCAATTGCACTTGTTTTGGCAAAGGAAGAAGACCAAAAAAAAAAAAAAGAATGAATAATCATTCAGGAACGGAGGACATTCCTTCAAACTCACAGACATAGAGAGAAAGGTCTTCCCAAATACAGAAGGCAATAACACATGACCGGATAGTGAAAACCGTCACACTTCTGAAAATGGAATCTAACACCAAAGCACAAATGTCCGACGTTTACTGATGTCTTCTGACAAATGTATCTTGGTTTCAATCATGTGAATCTTTCATTGGGTTTTGTCCATTCCCGAGTTGCCACCTACCCACCCGAGTAGGATGCTCTCAAGTAGAGGATTCGAGGAACCTAATCTTTTCCCAGCAGGGATCCAAGCGCCTCTGCAAGTGTATGAATGGAGATAATATCTCTATAATGAGGCCTGTTTTGTAGCATCAAAGTACTCGAAAGCGGCTGAAATCCGACCCCCCGCCTGGCCCCCGACAATGCCTCAATACCGGTGCCCTATTATTAATTGCTTTGTCTGCCTGCTAAGTCGCTTGCTTTGCTGGCGTGTTTGCGTTTTGAGCTGCTTACCCTTGACCTACTATGTTGCAGGTTTGCTCTGCGCTGCATGGAGATCGCGCATCGTGGGCAAACGCGCCACTTTTCGAACGGGACACCCGGAAATGTTTGTACGTGTATGGGACTATTTCGCTGGAGAATGTCCTTTCGGGGACAGCGTTTACTAGAGTGGACAGCTATTCACATGTCAACCACTGCAATGGAGCCTTATGTGAGTTGCCATCCGATGTCGTTATTTTTTTTTTTCATGGCTAATGACTAATAAAAAAAAATCCTGATGTAGGTTATGATTATTTGTGCATGAAAGCGTTAAATTAAATTGTTAAGCGGTCATTCAATAAAGCCCTGTTAGGCTGTGCTTCAACGTCTCTGTCGTTACTTCGCCGTTGGTCATAGCGACAAACGAAGGGAGTTTAACCATAACCAAAGTTTGGACGCTGGACCGGAGAGACAGATTAGTTCTAGGTAGGACAAGGCTGGTACAACACAATGTGGATGCATTGTAACCCTTTCACGCACTAATAATGATCACCCGTAACCTGATAAACATGATAAGCTGTCCACTGTAGTCACCATTGTCCCTGAAAGGGTTAAAACAGGACCAAATCAAAAGAAAAAACGAAACACCCAACCACCCCATGGGTGACCAACTCCTTTTCTCCACCCACACTGCACCAGATTTCTTGTGTTTTTTTTTTCTTGGTTGTTTTCTTAGCTAATAATTAAAACCTTTCCTGAGAAACCAGATATCCATATTGACTGGATCAGATCAATTGCTTATTAAAGTGCAGTAATTATCCAGTGAAAAGCTTTCACTGGATAGCTGCTTGATCGAAAATAGAATCATAAATATTCCTTCATCCCGACAATGACTGCACCAGAATTAACCACTTAAGTGTCGAGAGGCCTAATGGCTGGATGCTGACCTGGACATTGATCACTTTCCTCTGAATGACAAGACGAGTTTGGCCAATTAAGATGCACTCGTCTACTCAGAATTGACACAACCTCAACCCAAGTAATTGAAGATGAGTCACTTGTGTTGGGAACCCTGTTAAGTGGAACGTGAGTCACAACTGTCCAGTAAACATTCCTTCAGTCTCTTTGTAATGGGACTGCACCAGACATTAAGCGTGTAATGTGATGAGTAATGTTTCATAATTGCTGTTTGTTTGAAAGCTTAGACGCAATGTCAAAATCCCGAATGTGCCACTTGTCTCTTGAGCCCCAGTGGGCAGGATTTTGAGGCAGCGGAAATATCACGGGGGGGAAATGGGCTGATATTACCCAAATAAAAGGACATCACAGTACTGTCAGAGAAAAATATACTCTCTTGGGTTGGTCATGTGTAAACTGGAGTTTAAAATGTGTGTTCAAATAAGGAGGGTGTCTGTCTCACAGACGAGAGGGCCCGACTTCGAATCTTGACTCCTGTGTTGAATGTGCGTGGGGATTTTCTCTGGGTGCTGGGCTTTTTTTTTTCTGTATTTCAAAAATACCCACATTACGTTAAATGAAAATTCTACTTGTTAACTAGTCTTCGTGGATTAGTCATTTGTCTATATTGGCGAGCAAACTTTCCAGGGGGTTCTCTGCTTTAAGCTCAAAGTTAACCGGGAGAGGCTCCAGCTCAACCAGGACCCAATTACAGACAAGCAGTGATAATATTTGCTTGAATGACACCCTGTGTGACACCCCACTTACCCACTCGGTGTCATTAACACCATCTTACATATTAGCACGGGGGTTGGTGGGGCCGATGATCCAAATCGTTAATAATTAATTAAATAGTCAACAAGTCATTTACTTTTGAATTTATTTCATTGGCACTTTGTTTTTCTTGCAAAACTGGCCTATCTCCTGCTGCTCTTTTTTTCCCCCCTGTTCTTTAAACATACAAGCACGATCGAGAATGGATGGATGCAATGACATTATTCAGTGATTTATTAAGATAGAATAGCATTTCAAGTGTACTGTCAATAAGCCCTGACAAAGGCAAAAGTGTAATTATGTAATTGTGGGATGATGCGTCTTTGTGTGAAGGTACCAAAATGTCGCATGAAGGTTCTGTGTAAAACACAACAATGGAAACAGGTCGGATCTTCTTTTTGTAATGAAGAACCAAGGGGTCATTGCGTCCACATGACAAAGGTCAGTAACTCCATGTAAGTGAGTGCTGTGTCGCACACAAACAACATCGCAGACGACATTCCCCAAATACGAGTTTGCCTGTTACTGTGGCCAGGTGAAGCCGTTTCAAAGGGAGACCTCTCTGCATCTGTTAAACAAATAAGGAGCCCCTACAAAGGTGTGCACAAGAATCCACATGATCAAAGTGTACGAGAATGGCAGCCTTGTCCCGGCTCGGCCATTATCAGGCCCCATGAATGCTTGTCTTCTCCTCTTTTGTCGGCCCGGGCATTGACAGTCAGTCACCCGGCAATGACTGTCACACCAGCGCAAAGAGCCAGCCGCCGACAGGGGCCGACCACATCAAACGAGGCTGTCAAAGAGGTAGTGGTGGCCTCGGGAGTGGAGGGTGCTAGGGGCGGGGGGGTGTCTGCTCGTGAACCGTGGCAACAAACACCTCCCTATCCTCACCTAGGGCTCAGCAGCAGACACCCACCGCTGTGCTCTGAGCCGCTGCCTCCGCTGAGAAAAGATGTACTGCCAGGACCTCATTTCCCTCACAGGAACTCCCCCCACTGCCCTCCTGGCCCTTTCTCCCTCTGTCAAGTAGCGCTTGTGTTAACCTCCAGCCTAGCGAGACACAAAGGAGCGCTAAAGTGTTTAAGAATGCTTTATGGATGCATGACAAGAAGTTGGGGGCGGCGACTGCCGGGGGTCAGAAAGTATACAGGATGTGAATGAGATGAATTCACTTTTGCTTTACTGCTGAGTCACACTTGAGTTGAGCTTTGGGATGTTTCCAACCACGATGCAAAAAAGACGGCGGGCCGCCAAGCCACTGTTGTTTTTTTCTTTTTCCCACAGTGATTAAAGAGTTAAAGAGTACAGTTGAACTGGTTGACTTCCAATTTGATCTAATATCAAAACAATTTCAATCAATTTGGACCAAACCGTATTTATTAACAGTACAGAAAAATATCATTTTAACACTTGCAACTGTCATCCATGTAAAAAGAGAAGTTAACCAGCTACTCACCAAAATACCTGATGGAGGACACGTAAAAGCGAGGAAACAGGAAAGTGTTGTAACTGTATACCAGAGTGGATACTTTCCTCTGCCATCGCTAGAACTCCCTAGGTCTTTTGGCATCACAAAACCCCCACTAAAAAGCAAAAAAAATATTTGTCATTACATGCATATTCATCATAAAACTAAATGCAACAAAATGAAAAAGTTCCATACTCATTTTTGGATGCCAAACATGCCCAATGGAAACTGAACTGTTTGGAGAACAATACTGCCACCTGGTGGACGTGTGTGTATTGCTGGGATGAATAGGTGTCATGAATCATGAGAATTCATCCTGGCATCTTCTCGGCAACAGCGTGGTGGACGACTGGTTAGCATGTCGGCCTCACAGTGCAAAGGTGCAGGGTTCGATTCCGGCCTTCCTGTGTGGAGTTTGCATTTTCACCCTGTGGGTTTTCTCCAGGTACTCCGGTTTCCTCCCACATTCCAAACATGCATGTCAGGTTGATTGGGCACTCCAAATTATCCCTTGGTGTGATTGTAAGCGCAAATGGTTGTTTGTCTGTGTGTGTGTAGGGTGTACTCCGACTACTGCCCGAACACAGCTGGGATCGGCTCTTGCACGCCCGCGACCCTTGTGACGATAAATGGATTAGAAAATGGACGGATGGATCTTCTCGGCAAACTTAATTTCCAAGTTTTACATTAAATCTTGGTGGTCCTCTTTGAGTCACCGTGAGCCAAGTTGTGTGTGTGTGTGGGGGCGCTGTCGGGACCAGATCTGGCCCCATACATTCATACCAAGATGTGTTGCTTTTAATATCGGAACATAACGGTGATATCGTTACATCCCCACAGTAACCAAAACACTAAACGTTATATTTTAAAATGACAATTCAATAAAAAAGGAGCATTATCTTCACTCACACATTTATGATGCAGTTGTCGTGTTTAATCTTATTTTACTGAATTCTTTTAGTGACTGATGACTATAAAAGTCGTCTAGACCAAAATCCTAATTTATATTAGGAACTTTTTACTCACTTTTATTATACAAAATAATGCAGAATCAATACATATTGATTGACATTGAAAATGTGCGGCAAATAAAAGGTCTGTGTACCCGCTACCTTACTCTGCTTTTAATGGCCTTTGGCGACACCTTTTGGCCAAGCACGGTTCAACATTCCTTTCATTAATATGAATGTGTTGCAAATGTCAAATGGTTGGACAACAAAAAGAGGAAGGGACGAACGAATAAATTTAAACGCGTCTACTGTATGGCGAGAACTAACTGTCGGTAATACTTCGCTTAGCAATAGCTTTTTCACTGTCTGCAGTCAGACGACTGGCGTTCGATATATCTGCCAATCTTCTAGCTATGACTCAATGTTTGACGATAGCTCGAGTTTGCGACTAGTGTAGTCTGGATCAAAATGGCGTCCTAGTGCTAGGATGTAATGTGGTTATTACATGTCAACATGTCACTCCTTAGAATTTGTGCCTTCGTTAAATGTCTTAATCGACGCAGTTTTCTGGAAAAATGTACGTCTCGTGCCACTCTTACGGAATGCTGTCAGCTGTGTCTGTCGACGAGAAATTGCGCAGTTAGACGACTAGCAGGTGAGGCGAATGATGTTTAGTTTGTCTTTTTCGCAGTGTTCTTGGCTGAGGGCGTTGATGTTATTGTCTCATTTTAAATTAAAGCTGATTTACCCGATGTTCAATATGCGCTCAAACGAAATTTGATGTCGAATAAACAGGCAGAAAATAAACCAGGTGCGACATCAACTTGAATAACTTCGAGCACTTAAAATTAAGGCTAAAGGACAACTTGTGCATCGTGGATACAAACCAAGTTTTGGATTTTACTAATTCCGTTTTTGTTGTTGTTTCTTCATCCCAGATACGCATTTGCATCATCAACGAAGAAACGTGTCATTTTCCGTCCGAAAGACGGAAGATGCAAAGAAACGTGTAGTGGAACAGTGTCAGCTGTTAGATGGTAAGCTATTTTACACAGTTAGGTGCCAATCGTGGAATAATGGTCCTTTTTAATAGCGAAATATGAAGATATGAACATTTTTTCCCCATTTCCCCCCTCTAAGTGCTAGAGGCCAGAATCCAGCAACTTCAACCTGATGGCCTTCTTGATGTCCAAAAAGCAAGAGTAGAATTTCTTCATGCCCCCTCATCCGGGAGACACATCTCCTCTGCCAGAACTCATATGAACACACCTCAGGTTTCAAAATCGCCGCAGAATGCAGTGAGAGAATCATTTAAATCTCAGCCCACTCGCTGGATGGAGAAATTAACTCGAGAGAAGAAAAGCAAGATGAAAAGACGGCAGCACCTTCGTGAGAAACTGAAGAAGAACAAGGGGAAAATGGCAGGAAAGCATCCCGGTGGTGAAGGCACCTCCAATCTTCCTGGCACTAGTTACAAAACAATATCGAATAAAAAGACTGCTCCCTTGGATGAGAATAGCCATTTCATGAATTCCAACGCTCAGGCTGCTGTATCACAAACTGCCCCGAAAAGCAAACAAAAGGGCCCTAAGAATAAACCTCCCATTACAAAGGAAGAGATGACCGATGAGGAACTCGCACGGTTGGAGGAACTGGAGAGCAGGCTCAGCCAGCAAGCCAGCCCAGGGTTCTGCTCAAGTCAACCGGAGCATTCTCTGCAGGCCAGAGAAGGAGCTGTGGGAAACATCCGCTCTTCCATCTTCTCTTGGCTGGAGGCGTGCGTGTTTGCGGGGGAAATTGAGCGAGCGCACAATTTCCTGCTCAGCCAGCACAGAGTTCGGAGTCGACGGGCAGTTCTCGACACAGATGTCTATAACATCCTGTTGCGAGTCTCTGCCAAAAAGGTAAGGTGAAAGGTTTTCCTCAATTTCAAATTTGGATTTTTTTTAAGCAGATGCAGATTGGCTTATTTGGCAAAAAAAAAAAAAAAAAAATATAATATATATATATATATATTCAATTCACACTGGTCAACAGCAAATTGTACCCAACTAATTGAGAAGGACTGGGGCCCTAAATGTATTTTTGACACTGATTTGAAAAATGTATTTCCTCTTTTCGAGCACATTTGTTCTTTGAGGTATTTTCATTTTTTTGTGTTTCATTTTGAAGTCTAAAATATTGCCCGATATGGATTTTACCATGTAAAAATCCGATGTTTTGTTCTGAGTTATTGTTGTTTTTGGTAAGCTATGCGTTTTTGTCTTTATGTTGATGGAAGACCCATAAAAAATGTCCAGAATGTCTTGAAATTAGTTTTGAGGTTTCTTTACACCCAGCACAGATTAAAGACACCTCGTGCTGGATTTAGCAAAGCAGCCCCAGAACATAACTGAGCCTGCTACTTGTCTCACAGTGGGTACATCAAAAGGGTGGGGCTAACGGTTCCATTGTGAATTAAATCGTTTAGTCTCATGGAGTTCGTAGTTAGAATAAAAACATCTGCAGAGGTACAAATAAGTTACACTTGAGATCAAGTTGATTCTAGAATTGACATATTTTGCATTTTTGTCATTTTTTTAAACATATTGATTACATTTGAATACAAAGTTAATTTCTCTCTCTCTCTCTCTCTCTCTCTCTCTCTCTCTCTCTCTCTCTCTCTCTATTCTTTTATAGGGCACCTTGAATCAGATTGGCCGCTTGTTTATTCTTTTGGAGGAAGCAGGTCTGCGGCCAAATATCGGCTCATATTGCGCTGCTCTGGAATGTATGGGCCGGAGTGCTTACTGCGCTCCCCGAGTTATTACTTGGTATGTATACACCAACTACAGTATCACAAGGCTGCGTTTGAAATTGTATACAGTACTGAGAGCCAACAGCAGATGTCACGTTTTGTTCAGTCTTTTAGTTTTGAAGCTATATTTTGGTCGCTGCAATATTTCCACCTGCCCTCTTTTGTTACATAACAGTGAATTATTACCTCATGTTCAGAGACTTTTTACCAAGCAGATATTATTTGACCACATGCTTCAATTATTCCTAATTCATTGCCCTTCATGACAGCTTTGTATTCCCAATGACATCCAGTTTAACCAAAGTCATTTGTGCCCGGGCATAAAGTGGATGTTTTTTTTCCCCCATCACTTTATTATTTGTAGCTGTCATATATTTGTTGAACTACAAATGTTCCACCGATCGGTTTTCCTTGATATTTAAATCATTCCACTCCTCGGCCTGTCATTTGTATGACAGTCACTGGCTGCAGGTTAGCATTATCTGTGATGTGCAGTCCGGTCATGGCGAGTGTGTGCTCTGCATGTGGACCTTGAGGCGATGCTTTTTGAATCATTCCACTGTTGCTGTCAGCGCCCATCTGCCTCTGGATCAGGCTCACATTTTCATTCGGGCAGAAAAGGACTGTGGCAATGCAAGCACGGTCATTGATATTTTGCAAATGTTGTTTGATAACAATGAATACAGTTTGTCATGGAACCATAGTACCTTATGTGTATGTGTGCACAGGTGCCTGAACCAGATGGAGCAGGATGGCCTCTCTGTGGACGATGTCTTCAGGCAATGTGGGTTCCAGCATGATGAAAGAGACATGGTACTAAAGGCCGTACGCGTTATCCGCCCCGACTACCAGCCCACCTCAAACTTCACCACAAGCCAAAGCCTGCCTGTGTTGGTTCAGGACTTTTACGCAAAGGTATCTGACTTTTTTTTTCCATTTGTTTTTTTTTTCTGTTTTGTAAAAACACACAACAAATAACTGGAATTAGAGGAGATAACAATATAAAATTTTACAATTTTGTTGTCGCCACTTGATTCATGAAAGCAAGCTACTGCGAGACAGAACAAAAAAAGACTTGGCTGATCCTCAGAGTCAATGACACCTTCAAATCTACCAAAAAAAAAACAAAAGCAATGAAACTTACTTCCATTGGCAAAGTCTTATCTTTGTGAATCTCGATTTTCTGCAGTGACTGCAACCAAAACCAAATTATGGAGTAGATCAGACATAAATAGCACACATGGGTGTCATTGTCTCCTAATACCCCAAAAAAGGTTACTGAATAAAACCAAGTCCAGAGTTCCCATTAAATACAACAATGAGACAAAGCTTACCGATGAGTTGTATTTCTAATAGGGTAATTTGTTTTCATTTCTGTGCTGCTCTGTGGAAATGCTGCCTCGCACAAAACTGGTCCATGGTGCAAAAAAAGGGCTGCTGGTTAACAGGGCTTGAACAGAATTTTTAGTACGCTAAATTGTCCAAGGAGGCAATCATAGTGAATACAGTTAAGATACAGACCAGTTGTTAAATCCTGTTTCTACAAAGTTATAATCAGTTTCCTCAAGTAGATGCATGAGCTGAATTGTTCACCAGGTTTGGCATCTACTTACTGTAAATAATAAGGCCCGCCTTAAATAGACGCCGAACATCTCCCACCTCCTTCAAAAAAACAACAACAACAACAGAGGGTGCCACTAGATGGCTGTAATTACCTTCACAGAGACGGATAGCTCCAAGTGTAGCGCTCAAAGTCATTACCACCACATAAACTGTCTGCACAGCAGCCTTGGCCTAAAAGCTGAGGTTTGTGGTTGCGGTGCTGCTGCTAAACATTTCGGATTCTGTTTTCCAATGCTAACCTGGCAGCAGACAGCAGAGTAAAACATAGCTCAATCAACACAAATACAATTAACAAAGACCTTGATATCGGTATAGCAAACATCAGCATAAATATTACAGTGCATCTGAGCACAGGGTATTTTCTGTATTGCCGGAAACATTCGGCATTGTTTTTTTGGGGTTTTTTTTGCAAGATGGAGAAAAAAAATGGCATCAAGCAAACATGCAGAATGCAGTGTACAGGGTCTTCTGAGGAACATCGATTGTTTCTCCGTGCTACTCCCACTCTTCAAATTGTCAACTGATCTACAAAGCCTAAGCAGCCATTGTTCAATATTGGAGCCAGAGCCCACTGATTTCTACTGCTGTCCAAACATTATGCATTGAGGGTAAATGACTCCAGCACGCCGTGTTCCGGCGATGCTCCTTGTCAATGCAAGAACCTCAGTTATTTGGAATGTCTCTCACCTCACTGCCCTGCCTTCCCTCCCCCCCACACCTCCTCTTATCTTTCACATTTTTCATTCATTCCATTCCAAGCATTATATTTTGAGCCTTCACTTCATTCTGCTATCCTATTTGCTTTGTTCTCTCTCGTATCTTTGTTGACTAACGAGAGTTTTATTTATTTATTTATTTTTTGTGTTTGTTTCATAATTCAGAACTGACGTCATTGGCGACCTAACGGCTGAAACGCTGCCCAAATAAACTGGCTCGCTCGATAGCGAAATAGCAAACAGGATGGTCTCTCGTGGAGCCTCGGGAGACCATGTTGGTGGCAGAAGCTCAAGCTCATTAGAATACTGTTTGCTCTGTGTCACATGCTCATATAAAATGCAGTTTGATTTTGGTTCAGCTGCGAGAGAGTCGTTGCTCCTTCGCTCCCATACATTCGGGCCATACTAAAAGATATGATGAAATTGAATACTATGCATTGATGAGCATAGTTATTCTTACGTTATGACCATTTGCAGGTTTGTCATGGATATTTGGCAAAATAGGCTGATACATGAGATCAGATAAAGTATATGTATTTTGACATGGTGAGGCAGCATGTGATTCATGAACCAAGCTCTTTTTTTTTTTTTTTTTTTTTTTTTTTTTAACTCGCTGCTCCAAGTAACTCTTATGGCCTTGTCAAACTGCATAACTTCTTTGTCATTCACGACAGTCGCGCTGTCAGACTACTAGATAAATATCGTTCTGTGGCTTGGACCGGGCGAGATCTCACATCACACTCTTAAGTCGGTCACTGACCAGACCCTGCCTTGTCGTTGAATGCTTCCGTCAAGATTCAGTCCATGAGGTTTTAGAATTGCAATGGTCTTGATCTTTTTACGATTTGCAATTAAAATGTCAAATTAATGTTACCGTGTGTGTGTGTGTGTGTGTGTGTGTGTGTGTGTGTGTGTGTGTGTGTGTGTGTGTGTGTGTGTGTGTGTGTTCAGAGGGATAACCACCAGTACCCAAAGCTGGATTTCACTCGAGACGAGCTCCAGGAACGTTTCAAATTCCAGCTCAGCATTGAGAAGGCCTGCACGGTCACCATTGACTCTGTGGAGGCAGCCAAGCCTGTCACAGAAAACATGGCTAAAATGGTAAGCCATCTAGCAACCTAATCTTCATTCTGACATCAGACGTCTCCACAAATCTGCTCAGGTTAACTAGAACTGACAAAGCAGACCCAGAAAATGGGTCTCAATAGACTCAAGTGATAAAATGTAACTTTTTGTTGGACTGTCAAAAAAAAAAAAAAGGAGGAGGGGGGGGGGTCATTTTCTTATTTTCACTAGTGAGACATTTTGGAGGTCACACATTGTCCACTACAAGTATGGACGAAGGAAATGTCCTTTCTTTTTTCTAACCGTGGCATTTACAGTCCAAGCTGGCTCGTCCTCCTCTGCAGATGGGCTACGTGGGAAGCGAGTAAGCCGAGAGTCCCCAGTGGCCAAGGAGCATTTACAGAAGACAGGCAGGCAGGCAAGCAGGCAGGGCAGAATAATAACATATTGTATTGAGGGACTCAGGAGAGGAGGCGCTGAGAGTCACCTCTCCAACCCACCATCCAGACTGTCACAACTTAAAACTACTACACCTGCTGGCTAAAAATTTCTGATTGAAGATCAAGTATTCCACACTCAGATGGGCATTTCGCATTGCAGTGGACCCCAGGCCCTGTCCTCCACCGATAACGATAATCCACGTATACGGTATTTTCTCATCAGTCATAAAATCCATCATAAAGAATAATAATTAAAAAAAACACACACCCAGACTGTTAGTCACACTGAACTGTAAGTCACGTGTTTGGGAAACTAATTTTACAAAAAAAAGAAACAAAGAACAGTAGAGCTGTGACTTGCACCCCAAATCCCGAATCCCCTAATCATGTTGAGAGCAGCAAATAAATTCCGGTTGGATTCAAAACGCCTACTCTTAACGACGGAATTTTTTTCTTTTTAGTTTAAAAGTGCTTACAGAACTACAATCGTGCGTCGCATTGTGGCCAAAGGTGGAATCCTGATCTTCTTGCGCCTTTTGGTGCTATAAATAGTCAATCCTTGTTGTGGCGGATGCCGCGTGCTACTGTAGGAGGCGGAGCCAAACATTGAAAGAAATTAGCAGGAGGAAGAAGACGTAGAAGAAGAAAAAGTCGAAGTAGTAGTCCTGGCAGCTAATGTGGGGACTGCCCTCCCAGCGATCTTGCGAGTTTAAGTGAATTTACGTTAGCGTGCTTGCTAATATTATTCCAAATTTAGTTTGACTTTCAAGGCATATTATTTCAAAAACATGTTCGCGTGCACTTATGCACTTAGCGTTGCCCATTTAAGTTTTGGTATGTGTTGTGCTGTACAAACACACAATTTAACTGTTCTCTGTCACTTGTGCCATTTTTTTCATAGTGATGTCATATTTATTGGGAAATAAGGAATAATCCTCTATGTATCATCTAATCATTGTCATTACATAATTCCTGGTTACTCTCATATGATAACTTTGATTTGAAGGCATCTGGGTTAAACAAGCAATGCAATGCACAGACATTTTTCGTGCCTTGCCTGGAATTTCATAATGATTTGCCCTCTGTTCAGTGTAATATGTGATAAACAATCCCTGCTTGTATGCTGACTCCCGAGAAAATGTCACATCAGAATCCTTGAAAGAATAGTTGGCATTTAACCACTTTTCCCTTTTGCACTGAACTAGGGGAAACTGGATTTTGCCCAAATTTGTGCGTGTTCACACTGTGGTACAGCTTACCATCATTCGATAATTACACGACATCGGCAGCCATCACCTGGTGTCGAAAATTCATGTTGGATAGTGACAATTGCTTTCGACACAACACCGAGGGAGCAGTAAGTGTCAGGTGTTAATCTTCACACTCCTGTTCCAGCAATACCTTGACACGTAGGCTTTGTTCTTCCTCTATTTCGAGTCTCATACGACCCTCTGGGTTGACTTTGTCTGCCTGTTCCTAGCTGGGGCGGATGAGGAGGATGATGATGATGTTAATAATGTGTTTTATTTGTATGGAACAGTGCCATGAAAAAATCAGCGTTTTACAGGCAGTGTGAAAGAGGCTCTTATCACGTCAACTCCATTTGATTCATATTTCACCAATTCACAACAGAAGTTAAGGCATATGGAGCAGGTCAAGAACCATACTCTTCACAAGACATCATCGAAATACCGCATGAGCAAGCACTTAAGGCGAAGGAAGCAAATAAAAGCTCCTTTGAAGCAAGAATTGTCCATCAGATCCAAGACGCTGCCTCATCAGCAAAGCTGCATACGTGCACTTTTCAGTCGTTTATTGAACTACGGGAGAAACTTAAACGGGCATCTGGATCACGTCTTTTTTTTTTTTTTTTGGAAATTACAAGATTCTGAATCCGAGTCTTTGGTTTTAAGTATCTGCCGATTCCGACTCCCGATCCAATGCGTTAAGAATAAAAGAAAGGCGAAAAGGAACAACAAATGTAGTAGCAGTGTCGTTGACTGCCATTGTCTGCATTGTTAACGCAACCAATGTCATCCTTTTAGAGGGCATTGCTGCTGGAGCAGCGGGCTCAGTGGCACAAGGCCCTCCTCCAGGCTTTACGGGAGTGCAAGATGATCCTGGGGAAGACCAGCAGCAAGGACTTCAAACTCAACCTTTATCCCTACCTCTGTCTGCTAGAGGACAAAGTCTATGTGGATATCATGATACAGGTAATGCAGCCCGCCAACCTCAGCCGGCTTCTGAACCAAAAGCCACACGGCGGAGGTTCAAGGCTATCCTGCGATTGATTGACTCACATGACTGACTACTTGCTGCTGTGACCTGTGTCCCACCAGAGTGTTTCCAGCATCCCGCCCAGCGGAGAGTCCCTGATTACTGTAGCCAAAGATATTGGCATGCGCATCTACACCATGTACTCGGTCTACCAGAAGTACAGATATCAGATGGTGGATAAGCTGAGCAGCATTTACAAGGCATACACGGACCTCCTATCCAAAGACACCGAGGTATACACAAAAAAAAAAAAAACAGCACAAGCTAACGTTTTTCCAGAAGTCACACCAGATCCTAGACAAATGCCGTTTCAAATCACATTATATGGTTAAAATGACCAAAAAAACAACAAGAAAAAGATTCTCAAATGAGAAGTCATCCAGTGTTTGAGTGTTGGTAAATACTGTACTTAATATCTCAGCCGTCTTCGGGCAGTAGACCCTAAACTGGTTGCCAGCCAATCACAGGGCACATGTAGGCAAACTGTTCTTTGTATATTTTGTCTTACTTCATCCCTCCATCCATTTTCTGATCCGCTTCTCCTCACAAGGGTTGCATCTAAACACACGCACACAAATGAGAAAGAGTGGTGTTTTCCAGTGAACTCACTTTCTAGGAATCAGGTCAATACCGTGTGCTTCATGCGCAAATAAACTGTTCTTGACTTGAATCATGTCAATACTGTGTGCTTCATGCGCAAATAAACTGTACTTGACTTCTCCTTCCAGGCGCGCAACGTCCTTCCCAGGGAGGAGTGGTGCAAGCTGGAAACGGAACACCCGTCAGGGCCCACGCTCCAGGGCTGCGAATCCTCCTGGCCGTACGTGGTCACTCTGGAGCTGGGAACGTACCTGGTGGATTTGATGGTCAAGAACCTGAAAATCAATAGCGACATCCTGAACTCCGCCTACGAGAGGAAGTCCATCCCCATCCTTTACCACATGTACACTTTTCGCAGCAACCGACAGGTATCATGTCCGCCCATCTCTGTCAGAGGAGTGGCTCTGTCTCATCATATCTTTTGATTTTGTACAAAAAGGGATTGTTTACATCATGTTGTCATCTTCAGGATGCAAACGTGCATCGTTTCTTCTCCACGCACTCGACAGAATTGTTCATGATCAGTTCATCGATGAAGTGATCCACTGAATGAGAGAAAGACTTTTTCATTGGACTAATGACTAGAAGCATCTGAATACACTTGACCTTGGCTTTTTGTCAGTCTTAAGTCAGTGTCACCTTTTGCACCCCAATATCCAGCACGGCGCTCCCGTGAGGGCGAATTATAAAACCGCTTACCCTCCCGCGCAAAGAATCCAGGCTAATCCCTTTTTTTATGTGTCTCCTTTTTAATTGGCTTGCTGATTGGCTGTCACCAGACTCTGCAGGAGGGTGAAGTGACCGTGTCATGGGAAAGCGCGAGGGAAGACTTTGGGGACGGGGAGATAACTGAGCTTTCACCTTGCGCTTACCAGGCAGTTCTTGCCGCCGTCTCTGTCTTTGCCGTGACTCTTCTCCCCACCTTTTCTGTTTCTCTCTTTGGAGGTTAGCCCATCAGGGGAGCTGCCTAATGACTTTACGACACAGCGTGACAGTCTGAGAGGTGCAAAGCAATGTTGGGCTTGTTTATTCTTTGCTGTCAAATCACTGTATTTATTTGCCACAACACTATTTACAACGCATTCATTTTAAAGCCATAGCTTGAAGAAACAGTATATTAACAACAGTGGGGTAAATGAATTTTGTGTTGATAGTTGTGCGCATTTTTGTTGTTGGCATCATGTGGTGGAGGCATCAATTAGGTTTGTGTTCATAAAAATAAAAAAAAATAGTGTCGGAAATAGTTGAGTATTGAAAAGTGGCCGGGAATAAAATCCATGCTGTCCACATCCCACTAAACTACAAATGCACTTGTCACACAAGTGCATAAAATGTACATAGCCCCTGATATTATGTGAAAAATGACATTTCCGGTATATTTTGGTCGAAAAATAATTGCATCACAAAGTGCATGACATTAAATGCGGGGTTAACGTAACATGGGATGCAGGATGTTCAGCGACAAATTGTTTCTTTCCTTTTTGTGTGACTGCTCCCTTTAACGCGGTTGCGTAATTTAAGGTTTCTTCCAGTGCTGTAATTGCGTTTGATGAACTCGGTTCTCTCCTCTCAGGTGGGCTTCATCAAGCCCCACCCGATCCTGACTCAGATGCAGCAGGAGGCCGTGGAGACCAAACTGACCTTCGACTCCTCCGTGATGCCTATGCGCTGCCCTCCTGTACCCTGGACCTCGGCCAAGTTTGGCGCGTACCTGCTGACCCCGGCCAAGCTGATGCGTACCCTGGATGGGGCGACACAGCACGACGAGTTGTTGGAGAGATGCCAGAACCTTCACCCGGTCCTTGACTCCCTTAACCAGCTGGGTAACTGCGCCTGGAGGATCAACAAACCTCTCTTGGACATCATTATTTCCATCTTTAATGATCGGGGTAGTGAAAAGCTAGACATCCCTCCTCCCTTGTCGGAGGCCCCGAAAATTCCCCTTTTCAACTCGCAGGACTCGTCTTACACTGCCAGCGAGAAGGCCCACTTGAAGCGGGAGGTTTTCAACGCCAGAAAGAAATGCAGCGAGATGCACAGCTTGCGCATGGACGCTCTTTATAAACTCTCCATCGCCAACCACGTCAGGGATGAGGTCTTCTGGTTCCCGCATAATATGGATTTCCGGGGACGCACGTATCCCTGTCCTCCGTACTTCAATCACCTGGGAAGCGACGTGACCCGCTCCATCTTGTTGTTCGCGGAGGGGAAGCCGCTTGGGCCGAAGGGGCTGGACTGGCTCAAGATCCACTTAGTCAATCTGACAGGCTTGAAGAAGAGGAGCTCAGTGCAAGGAAGGCTGGAATATGCCAACTCTATCATGGAGGACATTCTGGACTCTGCTGACCGCCCCTTGAATGTGCGTCCATCTTTATTGCTATTTGCTTCACATTGTTTGTCAGCAGAATTATGAGGCAGATCTGCTAACTAGGAACCAAACCGATATGGATATTTTGAGCTCGATACCGATTCTGATATTTGGCGGAGTAAAATCCCCATCACCATAATCGGCCGATTAATTCAAAACATGTATAATTAATAAGATAGACTTTTTGGGGGGGGGGCCCTTAACCCTTATAACAATAAATATACAAATTAAAGGCACAAGTAACTTAACTTTACAACTAAGAGAAACATCTTTTGGGGGGTGAGTTTGAATGGCATTTGTTGTAATATGTAAAAAAAAAAAAAAAAAAGGCACGAAAATCTGCAAAGTTTGGCCAAATTTAAAAGTGCAAATAGCAGCCAATGAATTGGTCACGCCAAAATGCTAACCACTAAAGAACCCAGCTGCTAATGTTCTATAATATACCTCAGAACCCTTCAAATAAATCACGAATATAATTGAAAACATTAAGACAATAATCCACTCAGGTGACGTGCCCACTTGCTAACCAATCGGCGGCTTAGCTGCCCCGCAATTAACACTCGCGGCAAATGTGCAATACAGCATGTTTTTTCCTATGTTTTGAAATTATGTTGTACTTCTCAACTATTCAAACCGACGTTAACGTTTTGTATATTGGCCTGATCTAAAATATGTATGCAGGGTGACATGCCTGATGCTTGTTATTTGTCGCCTCAGGGTAAGAAATGGTGGATGAATGCAGATGAGCCGTGGCAAGCTCTCGCCTGCTGCATGGAGATCGCCAGCGCCGTGCGATCTCCCGACCCAACCCGGTTCATCTCTCATTTTCCTGTTCACCAGGTACCATCAATGTTTGCATCCACCCCATTTACATTTGCGCTTGTCCGCATTCGGGTCGCCGGTCACCTGGAGCCCTTTCCCTGCTGATTTAGGCCAAGGAAGGGGCCATTACTATGGACAATATGCAGAGGGGTCAAACTCATTTTCATCAGTGGCCACATCATAGTTATGGTTTGAGTTGGAGAGTTGTCTAGCTGGGTCAAAATTAATTGATTAGTCAACAACTAATCGATTATCAAATTAAGCTGTTTTAATAATTGAGTCATCTCGATGGGCAGCATATGAACCAGAGCACATTTCTTCTCTTTTGAGTCTCGGATATAGCTACCAAATTTAGATTTTGACCACCATTCATGTTTTTAGCCGCACTTTTAAAGGCCACATGAAAACCATCCAAGGATTTCTTAAAGGAGCAGTTACCTCTTAATGACAGTAACGGATGACCGTGCGGACAGCGATTTCAACAGGCAAATGCAAAATGTTCAATATGATGATCAAAATACGATAGAAAGTACATGATCAAAATAATTCCTTCTGTCAAATAAGTCTTTGTGAACCCTGTTAAAAGAACGATTTCTTATCATTTAACCGCTTCTGATACACACTCTAGTTAACAGAGCATGCTAAAATCACGTACATCCCACTGGAAAAAAATTGGACAAAATCGACGAAACACATTTTGAACTACAGATATCATTCATATGTCTGCAAATGTTTGGTGCGACCTCATTTTTGTGATGACTTTGTCTTTCTGAGGAGGACACGAACTGCACTTTATATTGACTTTGTACCTCGCTCTTAGTTTTCGTTTATTGGTGTAACGTGAGATTTTTCATGTGCCTCGGCTCGATAAAGCCAGCGAAACCCTGCACTCAAGAGCCATTCTGCCTCAATGTTATTGTGGAAGCGCTGCTGTACGGTAACTACATCACTTATTTATTTATCGCTCGCTTTACTTTTCATATGGACTGAAAAGCGAGTGGTCCAGCGATGTATTACCCCCCACCCCACCAACCCCCCATTTTGAGGGGCACATCAGCATCTGCGAGGAGCTTCACTTATCACAGATGTACTTCACAACGTGATTTTGATTTAGCAGTACAAGTTTTTGCAATATTTTGTCTCATTCATGTATGGGGGGGGTGGGGGGGTCATAATGTGTCAAAAGTTGCTGCTCGCTGCATTACTTTGGCTCATGTGACCGCCTTATCATTGCCCATACTGATGTTTCGAAAAATTTTATTTTGTTGTATTGTGATATCAATCCAATAAGGAATCATCCGGACTCTTTACGTTTCAAAATGATCACATTATGCTGTTTTGCTCTATAGAGGATTACTATGAATTCATTAAAGTGCTTATAATAATAAATGAGGTCCTCAGTATCATGCTGATGGATGCAATATCCCCTTCATATTTTAGCTAAGGATTAAGACATTAATTATTCATTTAATTATTAATGAATGAACATATCTGAATGTCTGGGAAGTATTTAGTTTATTGTATTTTTGACACATGCTCTTTAGATTAATCTTTTCTGTGCTTAATATGTTGTTTTAATTGTCCATTTCCCCCTGCATGCACCCGACCCACATCCTCCATCCATATTTCTGTTCTCATTTCCATCACACGGCTGCTTTTAATCTCCCCTACCATCTCCTCCAGGACGGCTCTTGCAACGGGCTCCAGCACTACGCTGCGCTCGGCCGAGACGTTATTGGCGCCACGTCAGTCAACCTCATGCCCTGTGATGTGCCGCAGGACGTGTACAGTGGAGTGGCGCAGCAGGTCAGAGCACAACTCAACATAACTGCCATGCACTAGATGGGGAAACTGTCTGAGGTACCATATTTGCGGATATACAGTACACTTATGGGTCACAACATTAGGCACAGACACCAAAATTAATGCTCATTTTTCATCAAACATTCATCAGGGTATTTCAATTAATACAGGTAGTGGTTGTGTTTTCCAAAAGTGTAAATGTGTACTGCACCATAATGATATATTGGAAAAGAGCAAGAGCAATGGCTAATATTTTATACTAACAGTGTCACATTGTACCATCACTCCATGTATTTCCAGTAAACAAATCCCAATTTTCCAAACTAACAAATTTATCACCCCGCAATATACATCCAGCATCATGCCCAAAGATGACCATTATGAAATGAACCTGCGGCCATTGATTTCTGTCGGTGTAAAAAACAGGATTTAAGAGGATGACATTCAGTCATATTCAGCAAAAACTAGGGTGAGCTGAAATATTGTACTTCCTGTTTCTACATATAGTGTGCATCCATCTAGTGTTTGACTTTGGAATTGCACTCAAACTGACGGGAAGGGAAAACAAAATAAACTTATGAACTATCCAAAAAAACCCTGCGAAATAGCAGGACTACAAACCCGTAAATTGTGTCACGTGGGATTTTCTGTAAATTTTAATTCTAAACTATAAATGGCAAGTTTCACCTTTGAAATAATCTCCCTGGAGTCTAACACACTTTCCCAACCGCCGCCGTGCCTTTACGCAAGGATTCTTATCTGGAAGGATTCTGGAAGGATTCTTCTGGAATCCTCTAGATTGCCATCATCATGGGTCATCTTTAGGGCATACACGTTCTTCTCGGCCAGGAACTGTAAGATGCTCAGGCCATTGTGAGCAGCCATGAGTTGTCTTGCTACAACTGTCACTTGTCTTCTCGCACACTGTATGAAGCAAATGTTGCAGAATCTCTTTGTAGACGCACCGGGTGATAGTCTTGCCCATATGATAGTTGACGAAATTAGCATATTGCCACAACAGATAGTGACGATTACTTTCAACAAAAAATAGTGCAAGAAGTGATTGTGCACTTCCTAGCCTTGTTGCCTTGATTGCATCAAATTGCAACAAGGGTCGGCCGCCTCCTGTTTTCCCACAACAGTGTCAGTGATTGTACTCCCGCCCAACATGCTTTGTGTTTCAGGTTGAGGAGTTCCGAGCCCGCGATGCTCAGAACGGCCTGAAGATCGCCCAGATCCTGGAGGGCTTCATCAACCGGAAAGTGGTCAAGCAAACCGTGATGACGGTGGTGTACGGGGTCACACGCTACGGGGGAAGGCTCCAGATCGAAAAGCGCCTGAAGGAGATTGATGAGTTCCCAAAGGTACAGTAGCGAGAGGGGTGAGGGTGGGGAAAAAGAGGGAGGAGTTCCCTCACGCTGCAGCCGGGTTTATTTTTAGCATGGTCTCTGCACAGGATCTCCTCCACTGTATGTGGGGCACTCTGCACAATGTGCATATTTGCTAGAAGGTGTGCAACCCTGCTAAGGACTGTTCTCCTCCCGCTTCCGCACGTTTATCACGCAGATGACAGCATCTGAGGATATTTTCATCATGTCGCTCTGACCTTGACACAGCAGATTAACAACAGCCACTTACAGTATTCACACACGCAATCAGCATGCAGTGAAATATTATACTAGGAGTGGACGGGAACAAATAACAGACATGTGATACCGCGCTGCTATTTTTAGGCCCGCATGGGCACAAATGGGTCCTCTGTGGTCAGCGCTCGTTCTTCACGATCATCTAATCATCTCAAATCAGTCGCATTATACCAAAAGTTGATCTTATTTCCAGTGCGCATGGGAGCGACATGGCGGTGCTATCTATTATTATCTTGCACTCAGGAGTGTTGTTGCCGATGACTTTTGCATCATATCTCCTAATTGCTTCACCAGGGAATTTGTGGGGAATGGTTATAAGTGACTGATGGTGCAGCGGGCTGCGTGGTTGATCAGGACATACTGTCATTACATCGGAAATAGTCCCAGTTAGTCTTCAATCTTCTTTTGCTTTTGCAATTTATGGGCAGCGGAAGCTCAAAGTGCAAATAATCTGGAGCACATCCATAAATTTGGACTGCAAAAGCGGTGTCACGCGATTTCAAATTTTAACTCGGTTAACAGCTGCAGGCTGAACTCCGGTCGTGTGGTGTGACCAGTGGGTACCATTGACGGCAAAGGGAAAAGATGTAACAATATCCACAATAAGTGAATTCATTCCGACATTGTAAAGTACCTTGCTGCTCAATGAGCAAGAAGATGATCTATCACCGTACATAAATTTGTCATTACTCTCTTAAAATGATAACCGAAGTCAGAGTTGGACAAAAAATAAATAAATAAATAAAAATAATAATTAAATTAAAAATGCCCTCATGATGCTAGCCACCACTGCTAAAATCAGCTACATTCTTAGTTAAACAGATCCTTCAATGAAATAATATGAAATGAAATGATTAATAAATGTAATACACTTAATAGTTGATTCCATTTATAGTGTTTTCTGGAAAAATAAAAACCTGAAAAAATGACTGGCCATTATTTTAGCAAGCTATAGCCAAAAGCATAATGGCTAATGACTAGCTAGAAAAAGGCCAGAAAAGCATTTAACCTGTTCTAGGGTGAGTAGTACTTTTTTGTAGTCTTAATTCATTTATTTATTTAATAGCAGTTAACTCTTCCTGATAGTTGTATGACAATGAAAAACGTTAAAACGTTTCTTAACATACTCCATAAAGGTTTTATGAAGAGATACATTCACTTTTTCCCTGTGTAAGTTGATTTTTTTTTGTTCAAGGTGAACAACTTCGAAGCCCTCTAGTGTCATATTTTATACTGTAGCATCTCATCGGTCTGTTTCAGGAATATGTTTGGGAAGCGTCTCACTACCTGGTGCGACAAGTGTTCAGTGGCCTAAAGGAGATGTTTACAGGAACGAGAGAGATCCAGGTGGGTGTGTTAGACTAAAGTCCTCATTCAAGCCCTTCTGTTTTGTCTTGAAATTTGAAATTCATAATAAACTGGAGTCTGTGTCCTTTGTCTCCACTGAACTTGTCAAATTTGGAACAAAATTTATAATTCAGGATGTCAACATTTTTAGGGACGTCGGAAGGCAGCTAACATCCCCAAAGTGTGATTTGGTGACTCGTGCATTGATGAAGAAGGCAGCTAGTAGCCGGGAAAACTATTGTGAATTGCACAACGCATCGACCATTGACACGTCGTACTTTTGTCGCAATAATATGCTTCACTGCAGTGCAAAGACAGATTCATTCACATCCGAATGGGGGTCATTTTCCGATCAGGTTATAAGGGACTCAACGGGGCTGCTGCGCTCCATGAAGGGAGTGCAGGGAAACCAAGCCACATTTTTTTTTCTTTTTAATGTTTGGAACAATCACAACATGTTACGGCCGTGACAAGTTAGCCTGCAGTGATTCCTGTAACATTTGGCAACCCTTCGTTTTGGAACATAAACAATTTTGACGATACAAGCCTTGGCTTTTTGCTGGCTGGAACATATTAATGCAATTTGAGTTCATTTCAATGCTGAACATTTATTTGAGATTCAGTACATTGTGTTTGAGTCTTAGGGAACAAATTAAACTTGTAAGTCAGGATACCAACAAATAATTGCCACCACTTTTATGATCACATATTTCAAGCTTTGCTCAAGGGCATCTCAACGAGAACAAAGCTCTCTCTCCTTCCCACCCCATAATCATATTTTCTCAGAAGCAACAGATACATGAACATCGGTCCACAGATGAAATATACTTGTAGCCAGCTTGGGATGAGTAGCTTCCAGCACCGCAGAGGGGAACATCTTCCTCTTATTAATGACTTGTTCTTGGCATTATCAGGTGATGAAAAATTGCCAATGGCGCACATTCACCTCGTTGCCTCCATTAATCGCGACTTATACCTGGCGGGGACCGTGTGCATTATCTTCACAAGCGGAGCGCGGCCCGCTACGCTGATAGAACCTGTGCCCGCCCGCTGCGGCGCTCCTCCTTTGTGGATTGAGCGGGGACAGCCCGGGTTTGAGAGAAAGAATTTACGGTGGCGAATCAATCCCGCCGCTGACCTCTTTCCTTGCTAGAACACGTCCTATTTATTCTCGGCACACTCTCCACCTCGGCCCGCCACCTATCAATCCACTCATTGATCAGTCAGTCTCTAACTATGTGGTTAGTCCATCCGTCACTCCCCGGCTGTCTCCTTGTCTTTGTTTCTGGCTCAGAGAGAGAAATAAGATGAGAGCGCATTCGCCTCGGGAAAGACTATGATCATCCATCTTCCTCACAGACGGGTGTGTTTGTGTGTGTCTGTGTGCGTTAGAAGGAACTTAGTGGCATTACTAGGGCTTAAAGACAAAATGCTGTGGAACTTTGCAATGTTTTTTTTTTTTTTTTGAAACAACAATCCATGTGTTCCTCTGCAGGTCGGCAACAATTGTTTGCCTAAAAGGAAAGGTCATATCGATGATGTATTGATGATTACTAAATAGAACAAGAACAATAATAACAATAATAAGTCCACTTCCTGAACTGTGTCCCCTTTTCTAAACATGCACACCAAATATAGGCTGCCTAACTTGTTTAATCTATTTCCTATCAGGTTGACAAAGGTGGTTGCAAAACGTTTTTCAGACATACTTTGATGCTGGATCATGTGCTTTCAATTGCTTGAAATAGTTCATCATTCTTGTCACAAGAGTTGCAATTGAATGAAGGAGTGTTAGGGGCCATGGTTGCAAAACGATAACACCGGGGAACACAATCCTCATAATTTTGCTTTCTGTTCGCAGATATTGATACTACTGACCTATTGGGAGCTACACGCACCTCTCACCGCACTGTCTCAGTTATAACTGCAAAAACAAGTTGCCAGCCAGTTTTATATGAGTCGTCGTAATCCGCTCTTCTTACTGCATTCTTAGTACGCTAATCAGTGGAAATGCTACAAATTGCATGACTTATGATTTTGACATTTTTATTCTCTCGATTTGTTTAAGCTCACGTTTTTTTCCTCATAAACTACGACTCTGTTGCCGTGCTGCTGATCTTGTCAAAACACAATTATGCTTGTGATGTCATTTGAGCCATGGTCTTATTGATTGAGGGTGGTCTCTGTTTGTTGCAGGACTGGTTGACGGATAGCGCCAGGCTCATATCCAAAGCGGGACACACGGTGCAGTGGGTGACCCCCCTGGGTTTGCCCATCATCCAGCCCTACCACCGCACACGTAGCAAAATGGTAAGCAAACGTACAGAGCGGCGCTATGCATGGAAACTCAAAGACTTTATCCTGAGCTAAAAAAAAAAAAATAAAGTATAATCAGTAACACTGGCCTCACAATACCTCCATGATGGTTTCTTCTCCTCTAGCTTTGTCTCCTGTTTGTACAGTTGGCGCTACTCTTATCTCTAGTTTTGCATTAATGTGATAGCGCTCTGTGCTTCAATTGGACATTTTTTTTTTTAATATGAAATTTCCTCCAGTGGGCCAAACAATGCTATGCCACTTCTTTCACGATGGTGTTAACCCAGTATTGTCCAACCTTTATTGAAATAAGGCACGTATTTTAAATGAGAAAAATCTCATGGTTACCCCCCAAAAAAAAAGTCACAGAAAGTATACTGCATCCTGAAATGACGATCTTGTCTCAATTCACTCACAAATTACTTATTCGGTGTTATGTCAGGACCGGTTTAGTGGAACATAAGGCTGATGTACATACTCACAACAATTGAAGAAATGCACACACATCTTAAACAATGATTTTTGAAAGAGGATCATTCGCCTTAGCAGACCCGATGAAGGCTGAAGACACACGAGTGTGTCATTTGGGAATCACTGTGTGAGCCCAACTGTTAGAACAGTACGAAGGGTACCCAATGTTGCTGCTTGAGCAAAAAGAAAAAAAACGGACAGTAAAAGTATTTGCACTTGTCATGCAGAGTTTCTCATTGCAGCCCCAAAATGAATATTCCTTAGCCAACTCACTTCTTGCTTCCCTCACTGTGCTTTGGCAAGGATTAAGAATGTGCTGGTAAAAGATTTTTTGGGGGATGTTATTGAAACTTTCTGTCCTGCTGGCCACCGTACTGTCTGGACTTTCTGAACTTGAGAAATATTGTATCTCGTCAACCCCTTTGTGAGTAAACAAGGCCCACTTCCTGCGTATGGATGAATGATTACATCTCTTAGCTCGCCTGGCTTTTTGTTCGAGCCGCCCGCATGCCATTCTCAACATTTCCAAAACGCGGGATGCTTTCCCAAGCCGGAGTGCTCCGGCTAGAATGTCCAGGTCCTGATAGGTTGGGTGTTGGTGAGTGCAGCGCTGATGGTGGCGTGAGATTGGCATGAGTGGCCCCCACTGAAATGGAGCTCCACAACATCATTAGAGTTGTTTGTCACCGCGGAGAGGCTGACAGTGGTGCGTCTGAGACATAAATGTCAATGTGCCAGCACTTCTTTAGATAGCGCGCCAGGGTGTGCGTGCGCGTGCGTGCGTGTGTGTGTGTGCGTGCGTGTGTGTTTATGATCAGTTATTCCTTGTGTTGAAGCAACACTTCTGCCCTCATTTTTGGCGAACACGTGTTTGCAAGTGTTTGTGTCTCTTCAGTCTCCTCTTCAGAACCTGAAATTCATGCAATGCATTGACGCATTATATTTGAACACAAAAGCATTTTTATATGTCCAGCCAAAATAGCTGCGATAGGTGACCCGCGACGTAGCAGCGGATTAATGTGCCGTTACTTGAACCGCTTTTTGAGGACGTGAGTGATTATATCCAAAGGCTTATTTGCAAAGTAAATGAAGGACGCGGCCATCCTGTATGGCAGATGCCATACACGTGCGGGCGGCAAGACCTTATAGCTTGCCCACGGAGCTGTCTTCTCTTAAGTATGACATCAAGCAGAGGGGTTGCTTCAGAAGGGGGAGTGACACCTCACAAGCAGGTGCAAGAGAGCTGCGCTAACAGATGGCGGCTCCCCCGAGGGTCCGTCTCTCATCCCTCACTTTCTTCTGATTGATTCTGCTTGGTGTCATGTCCAGCATGGACAAGGAGGCTGATTAACCCTTTTGAAGTTTTTTTGTATTAGCACACACAAACACACACACAATCTCCCCATCTCCTCTCTGCTTCTTCAATCCAAGGCCATTGTGTTGCTGTGAGGGGGTCATTCATAATTAGACAAGGGATAGGATTGCAAAATGAGGAGCCAGGCACTGGAAGAAAACCAGCAAGTGTTGGGAAAGGGGCGGCATCATCATTTAGTGCATGCTAAATTCAGTCCCCACTCACTGACGGTGTAAACGCGTGTGAATGTTTGTCCATCTCGATTGTGTATGCGCCCCACGACTGGCTGCCGACCAGTCCTTGCTGTAGTCCGCCTTTGGCTGGGAGTCATCTGAGATGCTCCAGCAAACACATGACCCTGAACAGGACAAGAAAATGGACAGATGTATTACATTTGGTAACCTTATGAGTAATGAGGTGCAGGATTGAAAGGGAAGGCGTCAAAAAATGTGTTGCGGTTCTTTTTCCATTCAACTATCCGCTCGCGCCGCTAGTGACCTGGCACTTACACATACCCAGATGTACTCCAGTACCGTATTTTCCGCACTCAAAGGCGCACCTAAAAGCATTCAAATTTCTCAAAAGCCGACGGTGTGCCTTATAAACCGGTTCGCATGATATATCGATCAATCTTCTGATTTCTTGGACTTTGTATTTTAAATGTTCTGCAAAGCGCTTTGTTACAGCTGCAGCAGTTGTGAACGCTTTATATAAAGCCGGATTGTATTTTATTCCCTTTAGCGTAGCTCCATTTAGTGGATGCATAACGCAAACGCATCCACTATTCTAGCTTCTATTCTATTCGCCTTACAATGCGGTGCGCCCTATATATGAAAACAGTTATAAAATAGGCCATTCATTGAAAGTGCGCCTTATACTCCGAAGCACCTCATCTTGCGGAAAATACGGTACTTGTTATGGCTGAAGAAGGCGAGGAAACGAGAGAAGAACGAAATGTCAACATACATCGGAGGCTCCCTAACAGGATTGCGAGACACTAATTGGATCAGAAGTCACGCCGGCTCACATTGTTTGTTTATTTTTTACTTCCCTTTCCTCAATCCTTGCTGTTGGTGGGACAGGGTGTGGTCATCTTTTTGACTGGATTTTTCACTTAATAGTGTGACAGCAGGCTTATGGTCTAAGTCCTCCATAGGAGGCCAGGAGCAGCGAGGTTATGCTGAGGGTAATAATTTCCCCAGACGGTTAACTATTGCACCTCATTTGTTCATAGATGCTCACGGGCTCGAAAATCTTAACGAGGTTTGGTTGTTACGACAGCAGTGCAAAATTATATACCGTAAAACAATTATAGCTGCTGTGGAAAATCCTCTCTGCAACGGATGGACTCACACTGGGTCTTTCTCGGAAGCGCTCTCCTGTGAAGTGGCTTGAGGCGGTCATTCATTCAGAAAGCTCTTTTTCCACTTTCCTTCGCTAACAAACATTCCATCTGGGCCAAAGCTAGAAAAATGTCCGCGTCAAAATGTCTCTACACCAGGGGTCGGGAACCTATGGCTCGCGAGCCAGGTGTGGCTCTTTTGACAATTGCATCTGGCTCGCAGATAAAACGAATTATTCTCACTTGTTTAATCCATCCATCGATTTTTCACTGCTCATGTCCTGTTCAGGGCTGCAGGAGCAATTTTAATTGGATGATACTGGCCTATGTTGGCCGTTGCTGGGTAAACGCCCCCTTTTGAATCAGTCTGCTTGATCATTAGCTCAACGCTAACCCTTTGACAAAGCAGATGGTGAAAAGAAGAAAAAAATGACGAGTATGGTACACTTCAGGACGAATGGACCTAAGAATTCGTCTTCGTGGTTAGAACAGGTTCTGCGGTGTGTCTAATTTGCGATGACAAAACTGCAGCGGTGAAAGTAAAGCGGCACTTTGACACACGCCACGCTACGTTCACATCAAAATACCCCGCCGGTGACAGCAGAAAGAAAGCGTGCAAGCTAGCCAGCAGCAACTCCGTGTAAGGCGACTCTAATTCCGCGAGCTTTGCTGGATCTTTAGCAATAGTAAGGAACGGAAAAAAACATTCACATTAATGGTGAGTTTTATCACTCAGTTATTTAAAAAAATAAATTGAGAGGCTTATTGTACTGACATTTTGTTAAACTCACTTTTAAAATACAGTATATTATATGGCTCTCACTGAAATACATACATCCAAATATTTTGCTTTCATGGCTCTCTTGGTCAAAAAGGTTCCCCACCCCTGCTCTACACAAAACTTCTCTAGCTTCCTGATATTTCCAGCCACAATTGTGTCGAGTTTTACCCGGTGTTGGAATTTTAAATTCAAGGAACCAAAGCTTTATGAGATTTTATGGGACATCTGAATCGGATCGAGCCGTTCCCAAGGGGTGACACGATGTTCCGTTGATCTGGCAGGACCCAGCGGCATTTTGGGGTGACATCATAACAAATGCAGCTCCACTTTCAAGGACAAGGAGGAGAGTTTGGTTTAAAAAAAATAAAATAAAAAAGTGGTGTGCCCGACTACATCATCATAACAAATGCAGCTCCACTTTCAAGGACAAGGGGGAGAGTTTGGTTTAAAAAAAAAAAAAAGAAAAGAAAAAGCGGCGTGCCCGACTACATGCATTTAACCCTTCCAGGGACAGCGGTTACTACAGTGGACAGTTTATCATGTTATCAGGTTACGGGTTGTCATTAATTGGTGCATGAAACGGTTAAATATTAGATGACCATTTGCGGATTGAAGCTTTATGTTGTGAACCGAAAGGGACGAATGGGGAGGGCTTGCTTCTCTGTGGTTCGTGATTGCTTTTGTACGCGTCGTCATGTGCGGCTCTCAAGTGATTTACACCGCGGGGGGCTCGTCCTCCCCCTGCCGCCTTTCTCCTCCAGGTTAGCCAAGGTTCTCGTTCATCATAGCTTTGAGTCAGGTCCTCAATACACACTTGCGTTGTGAATAAAAAGGGCCACAAATAATGACCTCATTTACTAGCCGGCCTTCCTTTTGTCACAGCAAAGGTAGCTTCCATTAC